GGCCCTGAAAATCTTAAAAATGTGATATCTAACCAGATTCTTACTCTAGATGGCATTACCTTGGCCTCCAGTAACACTGTGAGGAACCTTGGGGTCGTTTTTGACGAAGACATGTCCTTCAATACACATATTAAACAAATATGTAAGACTGCTTTCTTCCATTTGCACAACATCTCGAGAATTAGAAATATCCTGTCTCAGGGTGATGCTAAAAAACTAGTTCATGCATTTATTACTTCTAGGCTGGACTACTGCAATTCATTATTATCAGGATGTCCTAAAAACTCCCTGAAAAGCCTTCAGTTAATCCAAAATGCTGCAGCAAGAGTACTGACAGGGACTAGAAAGAGAGAGCAGATTTCTCCTGTTTTGGCTTCCCTTTATTGGCTTCCTGTTAAATCCAGAATTGAATTCAAAATCCTGCTCCTCACATACAAGGTCTTAAATAATCATCTTATCGTAATGACCTTGTAGTACCATATTACCCTATTAGAGCACTTTGCTCTCACACTGCAGGCTTACTTGTTGTTCCTAAAGTATTTAAAAGTATTTAAAGTATTTAAAAGTAGAATGGGAGGGAGAGCCTTCAGTTTTCAGGCCCCTCTTCTGTGGAACCAGCTTCCAATTTGGATTCGGGAGACAGACACTATCTCTACTTTTAAGATTAGGTTTAAAACTTTCCTTTTTGCTAAAGCATATAGTTAGGGCTGGACCAGGTGACCGTGAATCCTCCCATAGTTATGCTGCAATAGACGTAGGCTGCTGGGGGATTCCCATGATGCACTGAGTTTTCCTTTCCAGTCACCTTTCTCACTCACTATGTGTTAATAGACCTCTCGGCATTGAATCATATCTGTTATTAACCTCTGTCTCTCTTCCACAGCATGTATTTCATCATGTCTTCCTTCTCTCACCCCAACCGGTGGCAGCAGATGACCCCGCCCCTCCCTGAGCCTGGTTCTGCTGGAGGTTTCTTCCTGTTAAAAGGGAGTTTTTCCTTTCCACTGTCGCCAGAGTGCTTGCTCATAGGGGGTCATATGATTGTTGGGTTTTTCCTCTGTATCTACTGTACAATATAAAGTGCCTTGAGGTGACTGCTGTTGTGTTTTGGCGCTATATAAATAAAATTGAATTGAATTGAATATGTAAAGAGCAGAGTTTTTTGCACACACTGAAAATCCTCAAAAAGGAAACAAAGATACCAAAAAGAGAAAAATTAAAAATAATCATAAGAACTGACCTCAGAGTTTCTAACTTTCGTAACGAATGCTCTAGTCCATCTGACAACAGTTGTACTCCAGAGTCCCCTGGATTATTGTAGCTCAAGTCCAGTTCTTTCAAGTGGGTAAGGTTAGAGTTGAGAGCTGAGACAAGATACCTACAGCCATCCTCTGTAATCTGACAGCCTGACAGTCTGCCGAACAAGAAAACAACACAAGTCCAATTTATTTTCATTTTCTATTTTCAGTATCCCGAGCTGAAAAATTTGTAAAGGATGGTGCTTAGTTAGGGATGAAAGAGGGAGGACACATGACACTCATTGTGATTCCATAACCTGTTTTTTCACAGGTTAAAGATTGTTAAATGTCTGATCTGACCATATCAGTTATTTATATTATTTATCTATACCTTAGAGTTTCCAGTTTCCAGTGTGGGCTCCCCAGTTCAACAGAAAGTGCTTTCACCCCAGAATTCTGCAGTGTGTTGTTACTCAGGTCTAGCTCAAGCAGACTAGAGACTGGGTTACTGAGAACTGAAGTCAGAGCTTCACAGCTTGTCTTTGAGAGGTTACAGTCAGTCAGTCTAAAAACAGAATGTGAAAAAACAAACAAACAGATTTTTAAATACTGAAACAAAAGAAATGCTGCTTTCCTGTTTTCAATAAATGTGTACCTGTCTGTGTACTTACATGGCTTTTTTGGAGGCTTTGATCACTGGCAGCAGCCTCAGAAGAGCCTCCTCTGAAGCAGAGTATTTCTTCAGGACAAACTCATCCAGATCATTTTCTGATGACAGTAAGATGAAGACCAGAGCTGACCACTGGGCAGTAGACAGTTTATCCACAGAGAGGGTTCTTGAACTCAGGGACTGTTGGATCTCCTCCACTAGAGAACGGTCATTCAGTTCATTGAGACAGTGGAACAGATTGATGCTTTTTTCTGCAGACAGATTCTCACTTATCTTCATCTTAATGTACTGGACTGTTTTTTGATTGATTTCTGAACTGCTTTCTGTCTGTGTCTGCAGGCCTTTTAGAAGATCCTGATTTGACTGCAATGAAAGACCCAGGAGGAAGCGGAGGAACAAGTCCAGGTGTCCATTTGGACTCTGCAAAGCATTGTCCACAGCACGTTGGTAGAAGTCTGTCTTTATAATCTTATTTTTAGGTGTTTCAGATGTCTGAGATGCTGTTTGTTCCTCTGGTAGCACGCTGACTCCAGAGTTGATGAAGGCCAGATGGACATGGAGAGCAGCCAGAAACTCCTGAACGCTCAGATGGATGAAGCAGAACACTGGGTTCTGATATAGCCCCTTTTCCTCTTTAAAGATCTGTGTGAACACTCCTGAGCACACTGAGGCTGCTCTGATATCAATGCCACACTCCGTCAGGTCTGATTCATAAAAGATCAGGTTTCCTTTCTCTAGCTGGTCAAAAGCCAGTTTTCCCAGAGATTCAATCATCTTCTTGCTTTCTGGACCCCAGTGACAATCTGTCTCAGCACCACCATCATACTTGATCTTCCTTACTTTGGACTGAACCACCAGGAAATAGATGTACATCTCAGTCAGAGTCTTAGGTAATATTCCTCCCTCTCTGGTTTTCAACATATTCTCCAGAACAGTAGCAGTGATCCAGCAGAAGACTGGGATATGGCACATGATGTGGAGGCTTCGTGATGTTTTGATGTGGGAGATGATCCTGCTGGCCTGTTCCTCATCTCTGAATCTCTTCCTGAAGTACTCCTCCTTCTGTTCATCGGTGAACCCTCTGACTTCTGTCACCATCTGAACAAACTCAGGAGGAATCTGACTGGCTGCTGCAGGCCGTGTGGTTATCCAGACATGAGCGGAGGGAAGCAGATTCCCCCTGATGAGGTTTGTAAGAAGCACACCCACTGAGGCGGACTGTGTAATATCAGTTAGAGTTTCACTGCGGTGGAAGTCCAGAGGAAGTCGACATTCATCCAGACCATCCAAGATGAACACAACTTGGAAGTGTTCAAACCAGTAAATTCCTGCTTTTTTGGTTTCAGTAAAGAAGTGATGAACAAGTCCCACCAAGCTGAACTTTTTCTCTTTCAACACATTCAGCTCTCTGAATGTAAATGGAAATGTAAACTGGATATCCTGGTTAGCTTGTTCTTCAGCCCAGTCTAGCGTAAACTTTTGAATTAAGACTGTTTTCCCAATGCCGGCCACTCCTTTTGTCAGCACTGTTCTGATTGGTTCATCTCTTCCAGGTGACTTTTTAAAGATGTCTTCTCGTCTGATTGTTGTTTCTGATCTGTCTGGCTTCCTGGATGCTGTTGCGAGCTGTCTGACCTCATGTTCATTATTGACTTCTGCAGTCCCTCCCTCTGTGATGTAGAGCTCAGTATAGATCTGATTCAGAAGGGTTGGGTTTCCTGCTTTAGCGATCCCCTCAAACACACACTGGGACTTCTTCTTCAGATTACTTTTAAGTTTACGTTGACATTGTGGAGCAAAAAGTTCTAAATGGACAGAAATTGCATCAGTGAGCAAAAATCTACCAAATAAAAGCACAAACAACGTTTACAGTAGTAACAGTACTGTATATGCCTTGTGAACAGTAGGTGCTGTTATTTTCCCATCTTGGGATAATAATGGCAGAAGAATTCAGAAGGTAGCAGAAATATAATGAAGTACAACAGAATATGCTGTTATGGTTCTTCTCTTGTTATTAATAAAAGAGTAAATGAACCAGTAATTTAAGAATTAAAGTAAAAAAAAACGAATTTGAAAAAAAAAAAACCCCAAAAAAACAGTGCCGTATAATTTCTTGTTCGTTTAGTGTTATTGGATACACTTAGAAGAGATTCTCATTTAATCTAAAATGTTCAGTTCCTATTTTGGGAATGAGAGTGTAACCTAGGTTATTTTCACATTTTTCCATAGCAACTGTGATTCAAGTCCAATGTGGTGGATGACTCTTGAGCAACCTCTGCATGGTGTCATGTGACAAAACTTCTTAAAAAAAGATACTGAACATTTTATTGATCCTTGCAGGCAGCGCAATTTATAAGTGCAAGTAAATAAAGGACATTTCATATCCTTCTTTTTTAATGTGTTACTGTAACCAATTATAGACCACCTAATTTGAAGTCTAAATCTACTGAAACAAGGTACCAGCAGCAGCAGCGCAATAGTAGTGACACGTAAGCATAAATGTAGCTCAGGTAGTGTTTTCACTGGAAATTTCAGTATAAAACAACTGCTAAATACTTTATTTTAACAACACCTAAAATAACTAAAACTGGTAACTCTTTAGGAACTGCACAATAATATCACATTATGAAACATATTTTACATAACAAGAAAGAGAAACTGTCAAAAAGTTAACAGAAGGAGAGGGAGAGAGAGCCTGAGACCGAGGACGGCCATTGCAGGGACAACCGCGACCCCTACTCAGAGAAGAGCAGAGGAGAGCCCCGCAGCCTCCACCAGAGCAGTCTGAGCTCCAGGCACACAGACCCGAGACCCAAGTGCCATCCACCCCGCAGCAGGGGCCCAACAGTGCCAGGGGGCCCATGTCCCGCCAAGCAGTTTAATTTTATTTATACAGTGCCAAACACAACAGTAGTCATCTCAAGGCGCTTTATATTTTATACCAGGGGTGGGCAAATCCAGGCCTCGAGGGCTAGTGTCCTGCAGGTTTTAGATATCACCCTGGTTCAACCCACCTGAATTAAAGGATTAGTTCATTACTAGGCCTCTGGAGAACTACAAGACATGTTGAAGAGGTAATTTAGCCATTTGATTCAGCTGTGTTGGATCAAGGACACATCTAAAACCTGCAGGACACCGGCCCTCGAGGCCTGGAGTTGCCCACCCCTGTTTTATACTGTAGGGTAAAGACCCTACAATAATACAGAGAAAACTCCAACAATCAAACGGCCCCCTTGAGCAACAACTTGGTGACTGTAGGAAGGAAAAACTCACTTTTAACAGGAAGTCAACTAAAAACTAAAACCAGGTTCAGAGAGGGGCAGCCATAGTTAGTGAAAAAACTAAGACCACTCAGTGCATAGGAGGTCTCTGAATGGTCTGGATATGGACCACCAGTGACGCTGACCCCAGCCAAATCCATAACCAGTGAAAAAAAAACACCAGAAAGGATGAGGAGAGAAAAATGTCAGTTTCTCCACCTTTTGGGTGTTGCCTCATTGTTCCCCTTCTAGTACACCTGTTGTTATTTCTTGAACATCAAAGCAGTTGAAACAATCCCCAGAAGTTGAATTAACCTGTTCCTTTGTTATTTTTTGGGCAGCGTTGTTTCTTTGGTACTATATTGCTATTAGATGCTGACAGACAGCGCTTGTTTGCAGACATGCCTGGGTTTGTCTCATGCACTAGGGAACTTAAATTGCATTGCTGTAGAAATTATATCATGATGCGACCCTTATATCACATACTAACTTATATTTACCACAGACAATATGATATTGCACAGCCCTATTTAAGAACTTCTACACTCACAAAAATCAGTTATTAGGTTTTTT